GCAGACATCAGTGAAGGTGAGGACATGATTATGTAGGGTAAGTCATTACAAAAGCTATGTAATTTTTTACATTTTCAATTTGGATGTTTTTCTAGATCTTTTCCACGCAAATTTAGATCTTTTTAGATATTTTTTGACACCGTTTTGGATATTTTTTGTCAAAGAAAAGTGGCAACACTGCTATCAGTCATCCGCTATTGTTCAACAATTGTTTGTACCGCCCATTAGTTCGTTTCTCCACTTCGAGTTTTTAAATAGACAGGTACCGTGGATATAGCAAACGCTTATTGTCTGAAACGAAAGTGAAAACGTAAAGGTATGTCCGCTAACCTTTCATCTAATTGCAATCTTAATGTTATAATGTATCGTCATAATAATTGTCTTTTGGTGTTTGTAGTGAATGAAACAATTTTAAGTTTTACAGTAGTTGAAAATGCTCGGACAATAGCGATTTCGGACACTTCTTTGCGAATTAAAAATAAAATTGTAAACAATTAACAAATCAAATATTTTATAAGTATTAAATATACATACCTGAGTGAACGTTTTGTAATAATATTGATATTTAACTATTAGTATTATTATTAAAATCCTATAGTACTTATAATAAGATAATAATATTATATAATATGAATAATTAGTTCTGTTAGTACACAGTACACAGGCGCCGGAACATGTGGCTCAAGTCCCTTGAGACCCCGCTCCCCTTAATTTTGTAAGGGGACTCAGAAAAAGCCCTTTTACTTTTTCAGGACCACATTTTTCTGGGGTTTTGACAGCATTAATTTTTAGGGAGATTTTTTTTAACTGCAACACGACAAAGCTAAAACCTTTCTGAAGAAAAAGTATTGGCTGTATCGGGAAATATAATATATCAAATTAAAGATAAATGGGCTATCCTCAGAATAAAGGTCCTAAATTATCGAGGCGGAAAATATACCCTAACAGGGCTTCAGTCACGTGTCAGTTGCGCACTTCCGTCGTCTTAAATTGCACGCTTCCGGAAACCTCCGCCACTGCCGAGAGTATCCCCCACGTTGCGTGGATTGAGGCTAAACTAGATGGCTGGGACTCGCGAGCAGCAGCTAGCGCATCTCCTGCAGCTTCCTTCATTTTATTTGCTCGTGAGTTCTAGCTATCTAGTTTAGCCCCAATGCTTGCCGCGTGAGCGGCGTGGGGAATACTCTCGGCGGTGGCGGAAGTATGCAATTCGGCGGTGGCGTTATAGTCCCCAGAAGTACGCAATTGACACGTGACTGAGGCCCTGTTAGGGTATATTTTCCGCCTCGATAATTTAGGACTGTTATTTGGAGGATAGCCGATAAATGAGTGCTGAAAATCTTCACTCTTCCGAATACCAATCCCAAATTATTCACTGTTTAAAAAAATCCCATTCAGGGCCTCAACAGGTTCATAAAGTTAGAAATATTATATGGAATATAAACACTACAAACTATGCTTCGCATGGCTATCCTCCTAAAAAAGGTTCCAAATTATCCAGACCAAAAATATACCCTTACAGGGCCTCAGTCACATGTAAATTACGCACTTCCGGCGACTACCGCTGCGGGGCTAAACTAGATGGCCAGGACTTACAAGCAGATAAAATGAAGGAAGCTACAGGAGATGCGGTTGCTGCTGCTCGTGAGTCCCAGCAATCTAGTTTAGCTTCACGTAGCGACATGGGATATACTCTCGGTGATGGTGGTAGTCGCCGGAAGTCCCCAATTTAGGTCGCCGGAAGTGCGTAATTTGCATGTGACTGAGGCCCTGTTAGGGTATAATTTCAGCCTCGATAATTTGGGACCGTTATTCGGAGGATAGCCCTTCGCATTATTAAATAATGGGAACTGAACTCTTGAGTCTTCGGTAGTACAGTTGTAAGTATCCTGCCTGTCACGATGAGGCTGGTGACTGGTGTTTGCTTGCTGCTGTGTGATAATTATTTTTCGCCCTTAAAGGGCGGCTGGCTTGTTATGTTGTGGTTTACAGCTAGACTGCGATATCTGTGCCTTTTGCCTAAACACATCCAATTTCAGCAAAGTCCTCATAAGTCGCCTTTTAAAACATGCTTTTTAGGTTGCAGTGGATCTATTCTTTTTTTCCCTCAAACATGTGGCCCTAGAACCCACAGGGCGAGTCACGAGTAATGTGATAGATGGATCAAAATCTATTCCTCCCCCCGACACTTTAATTCCTCTCCATGGCGCTTAGCTTAACATCTAAACATTGCTATCCATCGAGTAATCGTGGCAGAAGTGGAAACTGATAATGATGGCCTAAATGTTTTTACTACATAACCTCCTGAGGCTGTCACATGGATATTTTTCACAGTGAATAATTTTGGACCGGTATTAGAGAGAGTGCCAAAAAATCTAAACTATTTAAGTGTCAGTAGTACAACCATATATTATTAAAATCACACAACATTCAAGGATGTTAGACACATAAAAAGATTATTGACATAAAAAATGTTGTGCTTACCTTACTTTGTTTACTTGTTCAGCACTACTGCGATCCAATTCTAATAATACATATGCCCTCTCTATTCAATTATGTATCAGCTAGTCTTTTTTGAAACAATTAAATTAAATACTTTGGATGTTATGATCATTTTCGTATGACAAGTCAGATTTCACAACTACTGAAAATTGGGAAAACAGCTGATCGAAACATTGATCTGATAAAAATATTTTGTTCATTTTTTTTACATCCCTAACTAAATTATTGCCAATAGGTTTGTCATAAGATATCATTCATAATATCAAAACTTTTATCACCATCTGGCAGATTCATCAATGACAGAGCAGTATAAACAGTTCTAGACCTTTTCCCCCATCAATTAGTAAAGAAAAATCACGTAAAAATTGTACCACATCTAAATATTTTTAAAAAAAATCAGAAAATGATGCAAAAGCCACACGGAACATTGCAAACGAAAGGACTTCCTGTTGTGAATCCAATTTTTTTTTAAACTTAAAACATAAAAGTTCATTGTCCCCACCAAACGAACAAAATTAGTGTCTCTCTATGATACGCCAGTATACTGGCGACTAGTCCAATAGGGATAAAATCAGACACCAGTTTACTGTCGAGCAGTCCTCAAAGAGTTTAGCACATCTAGCCATCTTTTTTGAAAGTATTTGTTTATCAGTCTTTTTAATTTATTGGAAAAAAAATGGTTGGTGGGGGGGGGGGGGGTGAGGCCTCCCTATGTTGTTTTTGTCGCAGCCCACTGGTAGGATATGGCATGGCCGACTGTATTTAAAGGCCAGCTAGGTCAACGGGAATTCCTGTTCTTGTGCGAGTCGAGAGGCTGGTTTGTGTTCACTATTTTTATCGAGCAGATTTATACCAGATTAAACTAGAGTTTAATTAATTTGCAACAAATCTTTTTTGAATTATATATCATTTTGAAGATAAATAAATGTGCTATTAAATATGACAATAGTGGCTCTTGTAGACAAACATCAGTGCTGGAGTCAACATGAACATACACATAAATAATGTGTAGCAATAAGCTATACCAGCAAACGTAAAGAAAAATTAGTGCTAACTCTTTGATTTGGAGGGGCTATTGCATCAGAAAATCATGCTGCAGGAGATCGTAGATTTTGGAGAGGCATGATCGCCCACGCCAGTCGGCAAGGCACCTGATGATGATGATTGATGATGATTGCATCAGAGGACCCGGGAAGAGTGGGTGACATTTGTACAAACTTAGCACATTAAAATACTGCAGAACGCTGGGGTAGTCCCGGGGCGATATTACATAGTTCTGAGGTCCATGTACCTAGGTGAAGGGCAACCTGACCCAAATGCAGGACAGCTGCTATCCAGTTTACAGGCCAGGAACTAACCCCCTTCTCTTCACATGGGCATATCTGACTCCATCTGGCACTGGTAGTAGTGTCTTTTGCTTTTTGCAATACATGTTTTATATCCCTCACCCTAATGATATCCCGAAACAATTATTATTTATAGTATTATACAGATTATCTTTAACTGAATTTATAAACTTCCTATCATTATGGTCAGTTTAGGCTATAAATCTCTTCAAAAATGCTTCCTGTTTATCTTTGTCTCTTGTCATTGGCATATTATTACCAGTGTATACCATGGTTGAAACCAACACAAGGTGGTCTGCTGCCAGATCGCCCACAGCTGGATCGAACCTGGTACCACTGAATTATGAAGCACGTTCACAGTGCTTTAGCCACAGATGCCGACTTGGCATTCCATACCTGTGTTGAAACCATCACGCAGCAGTCTGTTGCTAAATTGCCTGCAGCTGAATTGAACTTGGTATCATTATGAGGCATATTTATAACTGCTTTTCCCATACCCTTGAATGGGCACCATGGTTTATGAATGTTGTTGTTAAGTTTTCAGATAAAGTAACCTTATTTCTTCATGTTATTAGTTTCTTTCAAATAATTGAAAAGTAATGTGATTTTCCCTTCTTTTTCATCTTATTTTATTTTCAGGTACCTCATAGTCTCATCAAGTACAGAACATGAGCATTGAACGGCATTCTGGTGCACTTACAGCGTATCCTTTTGCATGGCTGCTAAATGAATATTTTATTAATATAAAGCTTGACATTTTTAACTTTGTGAAAGTAATTGTATAAGAAGGAAGTTAAACCTAAACTGATGCACACACACACACACTCACAAAAACCACTTTTGCCCTTTGTAATATTAAAAAACAGTCAATACTGAGTACCAGAAAAACATGTTTTTTTTATAATTGACAGTAGAGTCAGCATTATAAGTAAATTTTTTAAACATTAATACATATCGTCATTATCATCATCCTGCTGTGCAGTCATACTTCAGATAGGGTTTTCAGTCTCGTCCTCCATTGTATTCTGCAATACAAATACCACTTTAATGTACATAAACTAAAAAATAAGTATTCATTGAGCATTTTCTGTATATTTAATGACAAAATAAAATGCATGTGCAAATTTGTCTGTTTCCTTAACACCTTCACAGAGACCTGCATGTCCCATTTCCTTCAGACCGAGAAGCAGAGATAGCACATGGCTCTCTCAGTGTAGACAAGGAGCCTAAACGAGGAGGTGTCAGACGGACATTGTCAGTCAAGGGCAGTGTGATGCATGTGTAAGTCCGTTTGACAGATTTGTTTACTGTTTAAACAAAAAAAATCCTGATGCTACTGAGTTGTCTACTCTTGAAACCCCCCCCCCCCCCCCAATTTTTTTAAATTTTTAATGAAGATGCAGATCGTCTGTGGCTATTACACGAATCCATAAATAAAACTGGTAAATGTTTGAGATGACTAGTAATAACAGTTCCATGGTTTTTTGAAAGTACAGGGCACTTGGAAGGGTTGTTCCATATCAGAAAGAACATTGACTGCACAAAGAAACCTGACACAAATTGGCATGGTTTAGATCAGTCTACTTCAGAAATACTGACTCAAAGAATAGAATATTATTTATGGGGGTTCGGGGGGGGGGGGGGGGGGGGGGTGTCAGTCTCCATCGAGTGCCCTTCATATTTTTTCTCCATAGCTCAGTTGCTGGGGGGGGGGGGGGGGGGGGGGGGGTTAAGAGGCCTCTTTCGGCCATGTATAAAATTCTCTCTAAAAGTGTGTTTTTATATTTCACATATGAAGGAAAAAACCCAGACACAAACAGTAGATTGCACAGTTTATTGCCTGGCATATTTCACAGTATCTCATCAGGTGCATAATTCTTCTTCTTCTTTTTCTTCATCTTCAGCATTCCAAGCCCTTGAGGATCACTGCTGCAGATTTCACATGGCTCCACTCGTCTCTCTAGTTGTCTTTTCTCTTTCCAGTTAGGCGAACATTTTTGGGGAACAACCTGGAAATTTGTTGTGCTGGTCCACAGATCAGTTGATTTCTAGCATAGCACATTCAGAAGGGGAAAACAGAGACACTTTTGTTTTCTGGTGGTCTCCGTGTGGCGAAGTGATAAAGCTGTTTGCCTCGTGTTCTGAAGGTCACGGGTTTGTTTCACGGTGGTACCATTCAGTTCGTGAGTGCAATTTTTATGGAGATCTGTGGGGATCATTACCGGAGCTTCGGAGGTCGTGCTCTGTGTGAGGCTGTCAGTAGGCAGCTAGCTGTTCTGTGCGGAGAGACTAAACCATATGGGATAAAACCAGTGCAATGAAGTCAATTCTCTCATCTTGTGCAGCCAGTCTTCTCTTGAGCAGTTCTCGAAAAACTGTTAGATCTATCCTTTTCATGTTTATGGCTCCAGAATTAGCAAGAGTGTCTACGATTTCTCAAAGGATATTTGGTATGTGTGTTTATCATTGCAAGGCTAGTCATGTGTTATGTCTTGGCTTTTAACTGTTAGATGTACTAGAAGATTATGTTTCATCTAAAAATAATCTCATATATTTAGTACCATTTTATATTTTTGAAAATGATCTTTGTAAGTTCTTTTGTGCAAATATTTCAAATTGCTCTGTGGTCTATTATATGGTCTGATATTCCACTAATTTACAGTTAAGTATTTTTGCTGTCCATTGTTCACTTTCTTTTATTGTAATCGATGTTTTTATATTACTTTCATTTTTTCTTTTTTTCCCTGTTCTATACTTCAACATCTGTGAGGTGTAAAGGTGTCATTATGGATGTCATTTGTTTCTTATCTTTAGCAGTAAGTAATTTTTTTTAGTGGTACCATATTTGACAGCATTTAGAGCATGAAAATATAAATAGTTTGCTTTAGAGACTGCAGTCCATTTAACAGATATTTACATAAGAATATAGGCTGCAATTCTTCTTTCTCATGTCTTTTTTGAACACATATATTTGTTTATTTAAACTGTTTCATCTGCAGGCATTTTGAAGCTGAAGAAAGTCGAACATTGCGTGTCAGTATAAATTCATTCTTCGAGCACCTAAGACTTGTATCTCAGACTATGGAGAGCTTTGGCCCACCAAGATAAAAGTTGCGGATTTCGCCATATTCCCCTTCCACTTTTTTCATTTACCTATGTAGTTTGTACATAATGTCTGGTCACTCGAGAGGTTTGGATATGAATACGTTTTAAAGGGATAATGCTATATAAACAAATCACATATAACATATAGTTAGAAAGGTGTTATGTGCCTTAGTGAATGAGTGTTGTTTGTAAGTGAATGAGAGGGAGGCCATGCCATGTAACATGATGTTAGTGAATGAGAGGGAGGCCGTGCCATGTAACATGTTGTAAGTGAATGAGAGGGAGGCCGTGCCATGTAACATGTTGTAAGTGAATGAAAGGGAGGCCGTGCCATGTAACATGTTGTAAGTGAATGAGAGGGAGGCCGTGCCATGTAACATGTTAGACATTTTAACCCTTTTGTAAATGCATTAAATATGATGTTGCTCTTCATCTTTGGAGTTTGTGATGTTGGGATTTAAGCCTGTATGTTTATGATCCAGTTTTCTTTGATGTTTAGATTTTTGCTTTCCCTACGCCTGTGCTAACACACGTATGCACACCTTGTAAATGACAAACCAATTATTATAATTTGTTATCCACACAACAAATGGTTTTGTAACAAATAGACAAGACTTATAAACACACAGCTATACAAAGTAAGCACCTCCTGCATTATTAACAAAAGACCAGTGCAGCTCTAATGTCCTATAAATACTTCTGCCACCATCACCATCTTTTACTGACACCCTCTTTTTTCTTATGCATGATAGATTTCTTTTTTGAATATCTAGGCTCTGTAATAAATAGCAGTGGTGACTCAAAAGGAGGATGGCCATAGCAATGTAAAGATGAATTATTTTGGTCATATCAAGCACCATTGCAGATTGAAAAAAAAAACAATTATACTAGAAGGCATGGTACCAGGAAGGAGGCGCATGGGCGGACAAACAAGAAGATAGGCACAGGGTATAAGTGGCTCCTTGAATAAGAAAGTACATGAGGCGGGTGAGCTGGCAAGAGACCGAGTTACTTTCAGTCAGACCGCGATAAGAGCGACATTCTGCAAAGGACCTGTTATATGATGATGATGATGTTTTCCTTAACATGTAAGTAAACAATAAACAAAAAAATAAAAGAGATTTTCCTCTTTAATGCTTGTGAAATTGTTCATGACATGATCTGCGTTATGGTGTTGAACTACTGACTCCTCGTTAAGAGGCCTCTTTCGCCCATGTATAAAATAAAATTCTCTCTAAAAGTGTGTTTTTATATTTCACATATGAAGGAAAAACCCAGACACAAACAGTAGATTGCACAGTTTATTGCCTGGCATATTTCACAGTATCTCATCAGGTGCATAATTCTTCTTCTTCTTTTTCTTCATCTTCAGCATTCCAAGCCCTTGAGGATCACTGCTGCAGATTTCACATGGCTCCACTCGTCTCTCTAGTTGTCTTTTCTCTTTCCAGTTAGGCGAACATTTTTGGGGAACAACCTGGAAATTTGTTGTGCTGGTCCACAGATCAGTAGATTTCTAGCATAGCTCTTTCAGAAGGGGAAAACAGAGACACTGTTTTTTTTCTGGTGGTCTCCGTGTGGCGAAGTGATAAAGCTGTTTGCCTCGTGTTCTGAAGGTCACGGGTTTGTTTCGGGGTGGTACCATTCAGTTCGTGAGTGCAATTTTTATGGAGATCTGTGGGGATCATTGCCGGAGCTTCGGAGCTAGCTGTTCTGTGCAGAGAGACTAAACCATATGGGTTAAAACCAGTGCAATGAAGTCAATCCTCTCATCTTGTGCAGCCAGTCTTCTCTTGAGCAGTTCTCGAAAAACTGTTAGATCTATCCTTTTCATGTTTATGGCTCCAGAATTAGCAAGAGTGTCTACGATTTCTCAAAGGATTTTTGGTATGTGTGTTTATCATTGCAAGGCTGGTCATGTGTTATGTCTTGGCTTTTAACTGTTAGATGTACTAGAAGATTATGTTTCATCTAAAAATAATCTCATATATTTAGTACCATTTTATATTTTTGAAAATGATCTTTGTAAGTTCTTTTGTGCAAATATTTCAAATTGCTCTGTGGTCTATTATATGGTCTGATATTCCACTAATTTACAGTTAAGTATTTTTGCTGTCCATTGTTCACTTTCTTTTATTGTAATCGATGTTTTTATATTACTTTCATTTTTTCTTTTTTTTTCCTGTTCTATACTTCGACATCTGTGAGGTGTAAAGGTGTCATTATGGATGTCATTTGTTTCTTATCTTTAGCAGTAAGTAATTTTTTTTAGTGGTACCATATTTGACAGCATTTAGAGCATGAAAATATAAATAGTTTGCTTTAGAGACTGCAGTCCATTTAACAGATATTTACATAAGAATATAGGCTGCAATTCTTCTTTCTCATGTCTTTTTTGAACACATATATTTGTTTATTTAAACTGTTTCATCTGCAGGCATTTTGAAGCTGAAGAAAGTCGAACATTGCGTGTCAGTATAAATTCATTCTTCGAGCACCTAAGACTTGTATCTCAGACTATGGAGAGCTTTGGCCCACCAAGATAAAAGTTTTTCATTTACCTATGTAGTTTGTACATAATGTCTGGTCACTCGAGAGGTTTGGATATGAATACGTTTTAAAGGGATAATGCTATATAAACAAATCACATATAACATATAGTTAGAAAGGTGTTATGTGCCTTAGTGAATGAGTGTTGTTTGTAAGTGAATGAGAGGGAGGCCGTGCCATGTAACATGATGTTAGTGAATGAGAGGGAGGCCGTGCCATGTAACATGTTGTAAGTGAATGAGAGGGAGGCCGTGCCATGTAACATGTTGTAAGTGAATGAAAGGGAGGCCGTGCCATGTAACATGTTGTAAGTGAATGAGAGGGAGGCCGTGCCATGTAACATGTTAGACATTTTAACCCTTTTGTAAATGCATTAAATATGATGTTGCTCTTCATCTTTGGAGTTTGTGATGTTGGGATTAAGCCTGTATGTTTATGATCCAGTTTTCTTTGATGTTTAGATTTTTGCTTTCCCTACGCCTGTGCTAACACACGTATGCACACCTTGTAAATGACAAACCAATTATTATAATTTGTTATCCACACAACAAATGGTTTTGTAACAAATAGACAAGACTTATAAACACACAGCTATACAAAGTAAGCACCTCCTGCATTATTAACAAAAGACCAGTGCAGCTCTAATGTCCTATAAATACTTCTGCCACCATCACCATCTTTTACTGACACCCTCTTTTTTCTTATGCATGATAGATTTCTTTTTTGAATATCTAGGCTCTGTAATAAATAGCAATGGTGACTCAAAAGGAGGATGGCCATAGCAATGTAAAGATAAATTATTTTGGTCATATCAAGCACCATTGCAGATTGAAAAAAAAAAAACAATTATATTAGAAGGCATGGTACCAGGAAGGAGGCGCATGGGCGGACAAACAAGAAGATAGGCACAGGGTATAAGTGGCTCCTTGAATAAGAAAGTACATGAGGCGGGTGAGCTGGCAAGAGACTGAGTTACTTTCAGTCAGACCGTGATAAGAGCGACATTCTGCAAAGGACCTGTTATATGATGATGATGATGTTTTCCTTAACATGTAAGTAAACAATAAAAAAAAAAATAAAAGAGATTTTCCTCTTTAATGCTTGTGAAATTGTTTCATGACATGATCTGCGTTATGGTGTTGAACTACTGACTCCTCGTGTGGGTTATCTGGCACCATTTTAAGAAGGGGGGGGGGGGGGTTAAAAAAAATCCCGCTGCACCCTCAAGCATGTCCTAAAAGGTGACTAATGAGGAGTTTCTCAAATCAGATATGTTGAGCCAAAAGGTGTAGGTTTCAAAATCTAGCTGTAAATCACACATGTCAACTGCCCATTTTTAAGGCCATTGTAGAAAATAGCTGTAGATATTTAGTGCCTTTCAACCTCGGCATTGACAGGAGCCAGTCTCCTTGTGAATTTTATTGGTCTCTATTTTATTATTAATATGTGCAGTGATGTCAATTGTGATAACATCCGGGAAGGCTAACCCGGACAACATATGCCTCCAGAAGTCGGATGTGTCAGCTAAAAGGCGCAAATGTTGCAGTCATATTGTAAATAGGGACAACGCAGTTATATCTTTGGATGAACACAGAAGGAGACGATTATGATAACATAACAAGACATGCATCTCTCAAATGTATATTTGATTTATGATTTAATTTCTATTAATATAGAATGCTGTTTCAAGGCAAATCAAATTCATTAGTTTTATTGCGAAAGCATACACAAATAGAATATCTTCAATGTAACATTTTTCAGCAGTGTAAAACAAAACCACATTTGTCAACATATTAATTATGCTAATTAAATGTGAATAATAATCATCACTTTTAGTTGGGGCTGCGTTAGCGTAGTTGAAAAGAAGCTCGCTTTCAAATCCAGCTGCGACTTGCGGCAGCCCACGGCCGGTGTTCGAAACCGGGTGGCTCCCGGGGTTCACCCAGCCTCTAGGAAATGGGTACCAGAGTGATACTCTAGGGTAAATGGAGGAACGTCGCTGTAGCTACATAGTTATGTGTGAACGGTGACACAGGCGGACATTTCTTATCAGCTGTCCGTACTGGTGGCAGAGCACTTATGGTTTATAACCGTGTGCAATGACGCTGGTTCACATCTCCCGACTTTACCTTTTTACTTTTAGTTGGGGGTACATGCACTGTCATACCTCACCTAAACTACAGGCTGTGTACGGAATACTGATAATAATTTATACAGAGATTATTAAAGTAACGATAACAGCAATGTAACATATGTGCATAAATGTAGATTTCTTTAAATAAATGCCTGTATGCCTCACCAATATATATATATACACACACACATACATATTTTAAATTAAATCAACAAACAAATGATACAGGTTTGTTTTATTTTAACGCTCTAAAAGTAAACAAAGTAAAGGTCCCTTTTGTATGCCTTCAGGCGTATTAGGCATATAGGACTAGACCTGT